CCTTTCAGATCTGGGATGTTTTCTTCTTGAGGAGTTTCTGAGTCATCAATTTTCTCTTCTTTATGATCATCCCGCACATCTGATTTCAAGTCAGACTTCATATTGCGAACGTGAACAGTATTTGAAATTTTACGACGATCATACTGGTTTCTTCATTTCTCTTCTTCGTTGGTCACATCTGAATATTTCCTTGTGATTTCGTATCGACGTAACGTCGTATTCGTAACATCGCATCATTTTATCTCAATACCTTTTGAATACGATAAATTTAGCAAATTACTTAATATATATCAGAGCTAGAGATTTATAAGAATAAAGTTTGTCTCAAGATGTACGGTAACTCGATATTTACAACAATGATGCTATAGAAATAATAAGATGTGAAACTTGACTCTAGTTCTGTCATCTGTGCTATATTTCCTGGCCTACTCCTATCGTAGTAGTATCTATATAGATAATATGTGGAAAAATAATAAAAAATAAAATAATAAAAAAGATCTGGTGTTGATATAATAAAATCAGATAATATATAAAATATATTTTTACTAAAATAAGATTACTAGAGTATTAGGCTGACGCATATGTGATGAACATTCAATAATAATTAAACCTGAATATTTTAGTCGCTGTATTAGAACCGAATAATTCTCACATCTCTGAAATTGATCAAAACAGTAAAAGAATATCAAGCGTCAGATCCTTATAATACAAATATTCATAATCTCAATATGGGAGATATTCCTTAATACAAACCTGAAATAAATTTGTTTTCAAACATTAAACATATTTTAGAATGGTATAAAATTGAAAAAAAAAATCAGTACAACCTAAAAGAGAGAGAGGAATATCGTGAATAGGAACCACGATCTTAAATGGAAAATATAAAACATCTTTGCTCAAAGCAGCTACCTAATTGCAGAGCCAAAGTGTCCTTTAGGGAGAAGTATCTTCTTACCGGAGAGTTGCTAAATAGTAAAAATGGCAATTTTGCAAATGAAAACTGTCCTTTGTAGAGAGGTATCCGCTAAAGGGAGGTTCTACTGTATTGGGGATTCAACAGTTAGTGTGAGAAATTTAAAGAATACAATTCGTTGACCTTGTGACCTATCGCTGTATGCAGTGACAGTTATATACATATTGTTATGTAAGAGTAATTTTAACTTGTTTCTCTTTATTTTAAAACTAAAAGGCCTGAATGGGGATGAAAATGTTCACATTTCCTGTAGAGGTGTCGCAGCAACGTCCTTGGTTCTCTCTGTGTTGTAACTTTTGGCAGCATTTGTCAGGTGTTCTAAAAACACTTCCTGCTTGTCAATAGTGTACCTGGCTTCACTTCCAAACATAGCTTCTATTGTATTTCAAACAATGGTTTTGTAAACCTCTAGTATTATGATTATTATATCTCTAATGTGTGTATTTGCACAATACTAGACGGAAATTATACTTTGTGCCTATATAACTCGTAAAGAAAAGGATTGCGAGCATAATTTTAATACAGGGGTTCAAAAGTTGCAAAACGTATTTCACACACACACAAAAACCTTTATTAAGACACACAGGTCTTACAGAGGATTCTCCTTGGGGTTACAAGACGGAGAAACCTATGAAAGTGGGAAATATACAAAGGGGTAAAAATGGAGAAAGATTATATACACATGATAAATATATACAGATTATTATTTTTGAATGATCTTATGGAAAATGAGAATATGGATTTGGAAAAAAAAATTGGAAATATGGATGGAAGAAGTGGAGAGCGAAAAGAGGAAAAAAATAGGTATTTACATATGGAACATACATATAATGGAACATGTCAATTTAAGCTCTTCTGCTCACACAGCACAGGTGGACCATGGCTTTTTTCACGAAATCTGCAAAATGTATTTCTATAATATATAAAATGATTTGACAGTCAAAGAAAAGTATATCCTGGTGATGCAAATTAAAGTGGCTAATGGTTTGCGCCGTCTATCTTAAAAATTATAAACTAATCGTTGATCTTTTTCATCTCAGATTATCATCCAAATACCATTTATTGAAGAAAAAAGCCAATCACAAACACGTATCAATCAGGCTGTTGGCCTCCAATCAGCGTGTTGCAGAATGTACGTCTCCGTCCAAAATGTTGGTCATAAGGGCTTCCTAAAAATTCCATATATGGGGCCAAAAGTCCGTAGGAACACAAAACTGTATGAAAACTAGTACAAAATTTAAACAATATTTGTACATAATATGCTAATTACATTTAAATACAATTAAATTATACAGCTCTATACCGAAATTTACCCATATATACCCAAAAGAAATGGTTATAGTATATGTATTATAAATTTATTTTATCGAGATGTGAAACATCATCATGTATTCTTAATATGACTAACATTACAACTTGGATTAGCGATGTGTAACTTTATTGAAAGATGAAAAATGATTGAACTTTCGAAGAGAATAAACGGCTTGATCGTTAAAATGAAGAAACAAAAATTGTCTCATTTTAGTGATTAAAAAGCCAACAGCCGAAGAGCCGCTTAATCCCTAGAAATCTCACTCATTTGTTAGCTTTTGATAAAGTTACCCATTGCTAATCCGAGTTGTAATTAAGTTAAATATTTTCCAGAAATTTTCTATTATTATTTCAATAAACTTACTGTGTGAATCACCCAGATGTTATTTTCAAAAGTTGGTGATTAGACATATCCAAATCTTCTCGTTTTGCGCAGAGAGGATCAACCAATTGTTTGACGGCATTCAATAGATGCATTTTTCTATTGAATTTATTGAGATAAAATACTGGGATATGTGGTTTACTCATGAATGCTTCCGCAGTTTCTCAATTTGTCTTATAATAATTCCTATCATTACACCAACTGAAAAACCACTTTGACAGCAGATTTGTCTGATTTCCTAACTCTTGCCCTAGGGTGTTACAAAATCAAAGCTTTTCCTGTACTTAAGAAAAACTTAGTACGAAACGGAACTATAGTATAGATTGATATCGTTTGAATTTGTCGGAGTTGGTGCTTAGGAATAATCATCAAGCCGAAAAATAAACGTTCTGCCCAGTGAACACTCAAAGAAAGTTTAAAGTCTCGTCGCCGGTCATCTGTTTCTTAAAAGGAGACAGAGGTAAATTTATTCACATTTGGTTATCTCGTGTGTCTTCAATAAAAGTCGCTGTGTATCAAATATCTTTCAGAGTTATTATCTGAATTCCGATATACATGCTGAAAGGTACAACTTCCTTAAGTTTTGTCCATGAGCATACTTCAAATGCATACATATGTTTGTGAAATATTTTATATTTTTTAACATTTATATCTAGTCATATATATATATCAACAATATATATACTTTTATTTTATCAACATTTAGGCAAACAAATTTTGCTTCCCTCTGATTAGAAAAGTTCGCCATAAATATAAGCAATAAGGCTGACTTTATCTTATTTTTATTTGGTGTCAACTTCTATACAGTCCACTTTTGTTGATTAGGTTATTTTTAAAGCTAATAGTGTCTGTCACAATAACTTCTCTAAAACAGAAAAAAGTGTGGATGTGATATTTGTGCATGTCATGCCGGTGCAATTTCTAGACCAACTGCCTCCGTATTTTCTACTTTCAATTTTAATATGTGAAGTTACAATGAATATAAGCGATGCCATCGCTCATTGATAAAGGGCCCTATCATTATGATTATCATTGTAATTGGATGAATCTCTAGTTTTTGGTTAAACAATTACTTGAGCTAATTACTGATGAGTAGTAAATATAAGCGTGCATTTCTCATATCGCGCGCTAGTGGAATTTGAATAAGAAGGTCTTATTAATGCGTAAGAAATGCCTACAATATATAGTTACGTATGTTTGATCGATTGGACCGCTACAATTCTATTGAAGTATTCATTTTTCATATGAAAAGATCTAAAGTTACGGAGAATTAAAATATCTTTCAACAGATTTTAACGAATCTTATTCTTTTTTCCACCTGGGTGATTGCAAAATAATTTTCCATAAATCTATATATTTCGAAAAACAAAAGATTCTGCTAACAGGTGTTTAATGGATTTTTAACAGAAGATCTGAGAAGTTTGCCAAAGAGCCCGACAATCAGGATGATGACACTGCCTTCAAAGTGTTTAATTGGCAAAGAGGGGCCCTCGCTTTGATGACGCCGACGGTCAATTTCCTGATAGGACAACAGGGTAAGATGTCATCGAAGCAGGTAGGTATCTCTCCCTTCTTCTCGCCATTTGACGACATCTGATAAGATGTGTTCAGACACCTAGCTTCACCAATTACTTTGTGACGCCAGTTAAACTTGGGACGAGGTCATTGACTTTGGGATAGAACGGTGAAAAATCTTATTTTCGTTAGTTTATAAGCCTCTATAGGTGTTTGTCTAATTCTATATAGCTATGTCTCTCAATATATCCTTGTGAAAGTTTATAAGAAATATGTGTGTAAATATATATGTATAGGAAACCTTAGAGGTATGTTGAAGAATGAAACACGTGTTAGAACGCAATGGTTGGCCAACTAGAGCACACATTTCGATCATAATTTTTCACGTTTCACCCAAAGTCAATGGCCTCTCACCACAAGTTCGTATATATTACATAAATTAAGTTGTAGAAAAGTTTCATATTCATATCATTGATAAATTGTTTGGTGATGTTATAGAGAGCAGGCCTATATAAGTAAGACAATTACAATCTTCCTATTCTCGCTATAAAAGAAAGACAAGTCAGAGAGAAGCTCTTCTTCCCAACTTATGTTTTTTTAAATCTCTTCTAAAGCATATATAATGTTAAGATCAATAAGAGACACTTCGGCCAGTAAATCTTTTTATTGTCTCGACGTTTCGACAAAAATATTTTGTCCTCGTCAGGAGCGAACAAAAATTAAAACATTTGGCAAAGTGTTAGAAATTATTCTAAGGCTGCAAGGGCGTTCTCACGCGGTATTCGAAATTTTGTACAACATCTAAAGCAGGAGTCAAAAAACAAATATTTAACTCACAAATTTTTGTCGAAACGTCGAGACAATAAAAAGATTTACTGGCCAAAGATTCACGCAAAGGCTCCGGCAGCTACGCGTCATATAGGCGGAACATAAGGAAAAGGGAGTTATACCTCTAGGTACCGAACATGTAATATTAGTTTATATTCTCTAGCTAACATTTCTACATAAACTGTTGAAATTGATAATTTGTTGGTAAGCTGCCAAAGTATATATTGACCATCGTGGCAGTAAAAGCAATATGTAAATAGTGGAGCGCTTTTTGTGATTTGAACGATACCATTTGGGTTAATATATATTTTTTAATGAAATATATATATGTATATTAATGATTATTAAATGTGAATTTCTTATTTTAGATAAGTCTTTTTAAAAACCAGCTTTGCTCCTTTTATTTTGACATAAATAGGCATTGAATAGACGAAGATAGAAAATATAGCTGATACACACAATCTCTTAAATTGAAAAAAGGATGTACTCTCTTTTAATTTAAAACATTCAAAATATCAAGTTGAAATTATGGATTTGAAAGTGTTTGTCTTACCAGTGATGAGCTCTACTAGCGGTGTCGCCTGTTAAATGACCAAACTGCTGCTATTGTGCTACATTTTCGGCTTATATGGACATCTAAAGCTCCATTATTGTTGAAGGTATATTTTCTAGGTATACTCTATATAAATATTATCATTTAAAATTTCCGAAGTTTTTACCTCAGATTATACGCAGTCTTGACATCGTACCATCGAAAGCGCTTAGATTTCATTACTGATTAAAGAAATAGCATTCCCATTATTTTACATGTAATAAAGCATCCACTTGCTTTATTAGAAAACTATATCGGGTAAAAGGTTAATTTGAATTCAAATTTTTCATTCAAAATGTGAAATTATAAAATGGTAATTGAGAGTTAATTTATGAAAACATTTCAACTACGTGCCTTAGAGGCATCTTAGAGATAAATTGAGGCGCTGGAACTGGAGAGTTGTTGATCAAGCTCGTTTGGGATTATCTAAGAGATTCCTTTGTGTCTTTTCGATTTTAAAAATAATTATATTTATAATATTTATTCAATAAAGAAACTCTATTTTAAATTGGGGGTTTGTCCACAATTAGTCTCGAACTAACTTAAAAACCAATCAAATTTAAACACATTATATATCTTTAAAAATTTTAAATTGGATAAACATCTCTAAAATATATAACAAGGCAAGAAAAAGTCAATTATATAATACCCCTATAACCTAAAATCAAAATGCCATTTCAGATTTCAAAAGAAAGATGAGTCTTAAGTAAGAGAAAAAAATAAATTGGAAATTGCTCGCTGACTATGTAACATTAAATTAAACACGCGACCAGGAAAAAAAAAGAGTCATATTCTTAAATGGTATAATAACATCGATCATAATTTGTTTGGGGTGCTAGCATGGAATGCTCTATCGCCAGGTGAGAAAGAAAAGCTTTCGTTCAAGTTGGCACAAAGGCGCTTCATCACGTAGCAATTCATTCAAGGCCAAACGTTATCTTTCCACATTTAACTCTTAACAGTACGATGATTGAAGAAGAAGACCCTTGGTACCGCCATCCGTCTTGTCCTATTTGCCGCATTCCACGACCACCACCCGGGGTGCTGCCTTGGCTGGAAAACAAACACCCTGCTGCTGCTGGCCTCGGAATGTCTGTCTCCTTTGTCGTCAATACCTGACCTTTATGCAAATCTAGCATATGTTGGAATTTGTGGTTAGGGCAAGAAGGAACCATACTCTTAACGAAGTCCTTTTTGTATCATCTAAAGGCAATCGTATTAAACTTTGAACTAAAGTATTGGCTTAGAATTGAAGGTGAAACTCTCTCCCTCTTTTTTCAGTAGCGAGCTATAAGCAATAATATTACATACATCTCCCAACTTACTAGGACCTAAATGTTATTATATGTGCTAACCTTAGAGATCATACTATACAAACCAAATATTACTATAGATAGACAGAGGTGTAAATTATTCAATATAACCACAATGGTACAAAAAAAGATTAATCTTAAAAGAAATCTTTTGAAATTGTTCAATTTTTAACACCAATAATAATGTTATCACACCTATAAATTATAATTATAAATATTTAACAATACCTTTTTTTATAGAAAATATTTTTATATTTTACTGCAATGGAAATTTGTGTTGTTGGGTATGTCTAATTCATCAATGATAAACCCGTCCATTCGTATATTTCGCTTGTGTCAAAAATTCGCCATAAAATTAATACTTGCACGCTATTCAAAAATGATTATCCCTTATATCATATGATCCGTTGGAGCTAAGAATAATCGAGAAATAGATTCTTATAGACGTTTAAGTATATTTATGTTCCTACTCTTTCGGGAATTTTGGTTCTTCTACAGGTGAATTAACTCATCATACATTTTATCCCTCTAAATATACTATTACATAGAGGGACATTTGACAATTATCCCGCAAATGTTTCTTTTTCGTTCAAAAGAAACATTTGCGGGATAATTGCCAATAATAAGCCGCATTATATTGTATTATACTATTACATATACAATATAATTATTTATTTAATGGTTATTTGACAATACAGTGTATAATGAGTCTACCCTTCTGTAGAAAGACAAAAAGGCCCGAAATCTTGAGAGTATATATATATATTAAAATATATCTAAGATGCCTATCCCTCAAGTTGCAACTAATCACACTATAAATCAACCATCCTAACACAATGATGTCTGATAGATCGAACTGGCGAAACAATTGGGAAGGTTCAGCACTGAAGAGCCAGGCCCTCCCAACAATTTTGTTCTCATTCAAGTCATATCTGTGAAAATTGCTTCATTTAACAAAAGTCACATTTTAGTAAAGTTTTTATTAAGATCTAACTAGATAATAATATAACTCTCATACAGATAGGAGATCTTTTTAATTTGGAAAACCTTTCAACATGTAGAATCTGTAATACACAATAGTGGCAATCAATAAGTTCAAAATTTGAAGATCTTTTTCAGAGATTCCTCTGTATCTCGTATGTGTAATCAATTATAATTGCCCCTCTGCGACCAATTCGTCTCTTCCAAGTGATTGATGCAGTCTGTCTTCTCCTCCTCTCTACAGCCATTCTCCTAGCATTCTTCTACTCTTGGACAATTTCTATCTTGAAATACCGTTTCTCTATTTCATCTTTATTTCTGTTAATAAAACTATTTATTTTTATTTTATAATCATAAAATTATTTCCCCTCAGAGAAAATACTAAATAGTTATTTTTTCATTGTAAGACTTGGGGTATATTTTCAAAATAGTTTGTGGATATCAAGTATAGTATAACGGCATTGGCAATATAACACACTACCCTGAGATACCAGTCTACTGATAAGAATACTTTTGGGTCTTTTTGGTGATGTTCGATTGTTAGAGGTTGGATCAGAGCAAAACATTTCATTTTTATTGCATCAAAATGATCGCTCATGGACGATAGGGCACACGAGGATTTCACTTTAGATAATATTTCGAAAAACATTAATTTTTCTACTGTCCATCTAAATGAATTGACACATCGGATAATAGAAAATCTTCATTTTTATTGACATTTTGGTTTTAGTGTTGGTTGTATGCTGGCTTATGCGTCATTATATTGATGATAACATTTAATTTATTTTCGATCCTGATTAGGTTATGATATTGGCCGAGATTCTTATTTCGGAAGTGTTTTTTTTTTTTTGTTTATATTTTAATATTCTTCGAAAACAAAAGGAATTGAAAATTTCTTAAAGGTATATCGAAAAAGAAGAGACAATATATAATGGTAATAATAAGAAAAAAATGCCATATGTGATATTTTATATTTTCTTCAATACTAAAATATATTTTGATCATATATTCTTTCATTTTAAATTCTAATTTGGTGTGAATATTTTCAATAAAATGTATAGTGTCCTTAACGACATTCAACAAAAAAATTGAAAAAAATAATTGTAAAAAGAATACATTCAACAATAATCTTTGGAAGTTGATTAGGAATAAATAATTTTGTTTCCATATCATTAATTTCTGAGAGAAAGTGCTCCGAATTTCGGTGTTATTTTGCTGTTGTTGTTGTGATAACAGCTCTAAATATATAATTCTACCGTTGATTTAGGGCTTAAATAATGAATGTATTTCAACAAGAACTACGAGGAACCAGGGTAAGTGAGCTGAAGTACTGGAGCTCCGTCCTCGAGAGATCTTATCAGCATCTACCCTGTATAACCGAGTTTGTGTAACCGCAAGGTACAAATTCGGTGTTACAGAGGTCGGTGGGAACAGATCATGTCAGCGCTGGACAAAGGTAGGTTGTACCTGGTGTTACTTGGTGAGTAGTCTGTGGAAACATATCCAAACATGAAATAACAAAGGTAGGTTATACCTGGTGTAACTTGGTGAATGGTCTGTGGAAACATATCCAAACATAAAATAGCAAAGGTAGGTTGTACCTGGTGTAACTTAGTGAATGGTCTGGGGAAACATATCCGAACATGAAATAACAAAGATAGGTTGTACCTGGTGTAACTTGGTGTATGGTCTGTGGAAACATATCCGAACATGAAATAACAAAGGTAGGTTGTACCTGGTGTTACTTGGTGAATGCTCTGTGGAAACATATCCAAACATGAAATAACAAAGATAGGTTGTACCTGGTGTAACTTGGTGAATGGTCTGTGGAAACATATCCGAACATGAAATAACAAAGGTAGGTTGTACCTGGTGTAACTTGGTGAATGGTCTGTGGAAACATATCCAAACATGAAAAAACAAAATTAGGTTGTACCTAGTGTAACTTGGTGAATGGTCTGTGGAAACATATCCAAACATGAAATAACAAAGGTAGGTTGTACCTGGTGTAACTTGGTGAATGGTCTGTGGAAACATATCCAAACATGAAATAACAAATTAGGTTGTACCTGGTGTAACTTGGTGAATGGTCTGTGGAAACATATCCAAACATGAAATAACAAAGGTAGGTTGTACCTGGTGTAACTTGGTGAATGGTCTGTGGAAACATATCCAAACATGAAATAACAAAGGTAGGTTGTACCTGGTGTAACTTGGTGAATGGTCTGTGGAAACATATCCAAACATGAAATAACAAATTAGGTTGTACCTGGTGTAACTTGGTGAATGGTCTGTGCAAACATCCAAATATCATTGAAAGTGTAGGTTGTTACTAGAGCATGGACCAACAAGTTGAGAGTATTGTCAACATATCGAAGGACAAAGATAAGTTGAACGGAGAATGAGGCAACAAGATTAGAGTGTTGTGAACATATCGAAGGACAAAGATAAGTTGAACAAAGAATGGCCCAACTAGATGAGATGTTTGTGAACATATCGTAGGACAAAGGTAGGTAGAACAGAGAATGGCCAAGATGAGGGTGTTGGGAAAATATCAAAATATGAAATGACAAAAGTAGGTTGTTACCAGTTCTTGAATGAGAGGTCGATGAGCTGGAACAGCTGCAACCGCAGCTTGTTACCACCGGCCGTATCGCTGCTAGACGGGCTCTGGCGAGTCTTCATAGTTGCGGTTCTCTATTCAACTCTTCACCTTTGAACCAAAACCTGAACAGATTTAAAAGTTTAAGATAAGTTTTACCACTTTGTACGTATAAGAATGGCTATTCCGTGTAATCAGCGATTCCCTAAACAATATAGAAGAATTAGCCGAAAAGAACAGTAATACACAAAATGACAATATTTCAATACTTAGGTTTAGTTAAGTACATGCACTCATCGACAAAACTTAAATATGTGGAAGGTTTTTGATATTACCATCATCTGTTTTTTTTTTTATAAGGAGACAGAGGCAATTTTTGGTCTCACTTGATTATATCTCGTATGTCTTCAATATAAAGGTTAATGTGTATCAAATATATTTCAGTTATTGTCTGAATCCCGATATACATGCTGAAAGGTAAAAATTCCTTATGTTTTGTCAATGAGTGTAATTTAAAATCGAAAGTTATAATATGGACAAAAATTTGAAATTGAACACGCTTATAATCTTCGTGGAGTAATAGGTAATAGAATGCCTTTTGTGATCAAAAAAAGTTGAAATAATATAATTTTCTCAAAATAGTAATATATGTACGGATAAAGAAAGATAAATTTATATTTCTGTAAATACGAAGCTATCATCAGGATAATATCTTTGTATATATCAGCTTTGTTAGTAAATTATTATTTTTAATATATAATACCAAGCGCTTCACCTTTTTTCAATTTTTACGGGGGAGGATTGAATATTTTTGTCGGGAAATATTTGATTAAAAATTAAACTGCTGATAAAGTGTTATATATATCGTAAAAGGTATAAATAGTAATTTAGTGTATTATATCGAAAATTAACTTTCAACATGGCGATACTATAATCTCTGTTTCTTGTCATAATAAAAACTCTAAGATATATTGTTCCTTAATGTTCTTTCATCATCACCACCATGTGGTGTCTCCAATCCGAAAGTTGGCAGCCACGGACTTTCCTCTCAATCAGCAAGTATCTCCCTCCACTTCATTCCTTGTAATTATTGGTCCACATTATTATTTCCTCTATCCTTTTACGTTGAGAGTCAGATTATCTCTAAAAGAGCCCTTCAGAACATGACCTGAATATCCCTATATTAATTTCATAATGGAAGGCAGAATAATACTTATTAATACGGTGCTTAGTTGTTAACATATAAAAATGGATTCAAATTAGTGTACCTTATTACCTCGATTTACGCAATATTGACTTAAGCGATTCTTCCGTGCTTCCCCCGTTATCTTTAGTTTTTCATTTGGTGTAACAGGCCTTGGACATGTTTCACTCAAACTATACCTACCTGTTATTGTCGATGCTATTATACTCAAATAAAATATTTTAAATGTTAACAGATATACTTTTTCATTATTCTAACACACTGATATACTTTTATTATTTTAACTCGTTTAAAAAAAAATTGTTTGAAAATTTTGGTTTATTTTATCAGAACTTCACCCCTCCAAAATAGCCTCTTATGTTTGTTTTTGAATACCTCTCTATACGTGCTGTATCCCATTTGTAGAGATGAGAGTCTGAGAAAAGAACGGGGATTTTCTAAGTAAGAAAAGTGATGATCCTATTGAGTATAAATGCCTAATAGAAAAATTATAAAGAAAGAAATGGATAGCAGAGCTTTCAAAGTAGCATTAAAATAATCTTTACTTTTTTATCTTTCATAAATATTTCGAAACAAATTTTTGGTATATTTATTTTTGTCTTTCTAGTTTAGCCGTTCTACGCGGGTATAAATATATTCTAAAACCAGCTAATATAAAAATTGTGAGGTTAGTTTCCCTTGACAACGGGTCACTGTGTGAAATGTAGGAATACCAGATTTGAAAGGTTGTAGTATTTATTTAATCGTATATATAATTCTAGCCTGAAAACGTACACACACACAAATGCGTTTCTATTTTTTTATTAAGATTAATATTTGTATACGTTTGTTAAGCCCTTGACACTTATCTCAAGTTGTACGTGACATGGCGTAGGTCCCATACATCACTGAACTGTTTCATCCCTCCAGTAAGCCATTTATCTTCTTTAGCATTCTGCCGTGCCCCATCAACCGTGGATGCAGAGACAACGGAAACAAAGAAAGAGGACAAATTATAGCAAGAGGAAAGTTTCCTTAGATGCGAGCCAAAAGTGAAGAAGAAACAAAACCTTGGAATCCTGCCACGGTACCCAGGAAGTCAATGATGTCATTCTCACAATAAGTCTGGTTGTACGGCCAGCTGTATTCCATGTGTGTGTTTGTTTGATCTATTTAGAACTTAGATACTCCACTAACTGAGTTATATATCATACAATTGTTGTGTGGGAGACTATAGCTATCTATATTCTTCAAATAATATTTTTCTAATACTTAGAGTTCCGATATTTTCAGTTATGTGAGTCTGCGCTGCAAAGTTGATATGGTCTCACAAGAAGAGCTGTTAACTAGGGTTTCCGGACTTTATATATTTCTATTATTTTTCAAGTATATTTATTAGGCTAAATAAAGAGAATTTGAGATTAGAAATACTTTTATTACATCTCAATTACACTTAATTATATATATTGAAATTAACATATAAGGATTTATATAGTCAAAATAAATTATGTTAAATATATATTCAAGGTTCGGTCAATAAATAAAGTGCAAACGGTAATAAATTTTATTGACAAACTAGAAAACTGAAATTCTGCATAAAATAACTTCAAACAGTCCTCAATATATATTCGAATTATTCAATATATTCACCTCCCTTCTGCACATATTTCATATAGCGTTGTTGCCAACTGTAAAAACATTTTGGTAAAAAGGTTTATCCAACTCTCTGAACCATCCTCTAACAGCTTGGAGTAAAATCTCGTCACTTTCAGATGTTTTACCAAACAAGTTGAGGGTACGCCAGATCAGGGCTGTACGCAGGGTGAGACATCAAATTCCATCCATACCCTGCAATATTCGACAAATCCAGGTACGCCGTGTGAGCTCTCGCGTTATCCTAATGAAATGTCATTTGTGTGTATTTTAAGTTTGGGTCTTTTTGTTTCAATTGATTTTTTGAAATTTTCTAATGATTCACAATATATTTCCTTGTTAATAGAAGAATTTCTTCCAAGAGTGTCCATGAATGTCAATCTTTCTTTGTCCCAAAAGAAAGAGATCATGATTGTGTAATTGAAAATAGAAAGTCTTGGTTTTTTCTTTACTGGCAATGTTTTATAAATACATTGTCTTGATCGAAGTTTTCAAGAAGGATCATATTGAGAAATCCAAGTCTCATCACACTTTATCACACCTTTTCAAGCACCTGAGAAGGTTCTCCAGAAAAGGTCTCATGAGATCTAAACAAAACTCTTTCCGGATTTGCAACATTTCTCGTGTTAGAGATTTTAGTACCTATTTTGAGAATTATTACGTATTTTCAGAATCCATTGTATCCAATATCTACAATAACATCTACAGAAAGATTGCGGTACCAAGAGAGTTTCGATTCCTCTTGGAAGAAGATTTTGCATTACCAATTGTAAATGTGATGAATGGTCAGGAGCTAATGTTTGAATATCACAATATTTATCTCTTTATGAAATAAGTGTGTTCAATTTTCACTCGCGCATGCACATTTCAATATTTATTCGTAAACAGTTCATTTTCTTCCAATCTATTACGAACGTTGGAGATAGCGACGTTGTTCGAAAGCTTGCTTGTTGTTTTAATAAAAAAAAAAAAAACTTGTTAATTTTTCACACACATTGTTAGTTTTAAAAAGCGCTTTAACAATCGTATCGAATATTTAGACTGTAGATACTTTTATATTACTTCGGCATGCTTGTACCAAGAAATTCCACCATCCGGACAATCCCGTGGCTTCTGTCTCAAGGTGAAGTCAATCCCAGAATATCAATCTCCTAGTAGTGATTGGAATATTTTGTTTGTTCTGGTGAGATTAAAGGTAATTAACACATCCACGAGAAGTTATGACACCAGTTGATAATGACCAGGACTCAATTACCGGCGACGTCCTATTAGGCGCGGTTGCCCCACCGGAGGCGATGTCGCGGGTTGGTTAACGGTGAGATAGTTAACCAGGCCATGACATTGTCTCTCCCCACGCTTGGCTCGCTCTTGTCAACCTCTCCTCAATCCTGAGTTCCTTTTTTTTTTTGCATAA